TACATATTTCTCGGGCATACCTTTTTTCAGCAGACAGTCTCAAAGGGCACATTGATCCACCGGATCGAAGGCACCTTTGAGGTCAAGAAACGCGACGACAGTGGGTCGCCAATAAACATGGCGGTGCTCCAACAATTGACGCACGATGGAGGTGTGGTCCATGCAGTCCGGATTTCGACGAAACCCGGATTGCTCTTCGCGGATCTGGCCTTCACGAGTGTCAGTCAGTCTGTGGAGAATGATAGACGCAAGCAATTTAGCGGCAGTTGAGATCAGACTGATCCCTCTGCCGCATTCCCTTAAAATAGGGACAACGACGGAGCGTCTCCAATCTGTCGGGACAGTCCCTGCTCCCAAAGTTCTATTTGCAACTCGTGTAAATCATCTACTAGAATAGGTCTTCCGAATTTGAAGAGGAATCGGGAAATTCTATCTGTGTAGTTGAGTAACTAATCACACAAATGCCTGGAGGTCCACTTCGAATAGCACAATTTCGCCTTTCTTTCAATTTCGTGCCCCTTTAATTGCCATTGGCCTCGAAATTTCACCCAATTTTGCGCAATGTTGTCAGTGCAGGAGCATTCAGCTTGCATGTTTGTAGGTCACATGACTTAGTCAGCGGAATCATTACCTACTCAACGGACAGTTCATTGCAGCTCTGTATACTTCTTAACACACACTAACTGGCGAACTCCAACATTGCTGTCGGATGCTTCCACAAACCACGGGCAATACTTCGGGCATCGGTGTTAAAGCAATGCTAGTTTCCCTATATTTTCAGTTCGCAACGACCAGGTTTCTAATCCATACGGCCAAATTAAGCCAACCACAGTGTTGTGGTTCCCCTTCTTCTTGCCACTACGTTTCCAGCCCACTGTCTGTGTGGCCAGATAGTTCGAGAAGTTATCTGAGGCTCGGTAATGCCTTCAATACTGTGTTCAATACTATTACTACCAGGATTCATACAGCTGCACTGGTCACTGACTGAAGCAGTTGGTCGCCTCCGGCTATTCTGTGATAGTAAGCACCTGGTGGTATGTGAGGCCAATCCCGTAACCTTGGTTTGTACTTTGGAGGTGGAAAGCTCATACCTAGTTGTGCAAGACTAAACATCAGCCATTATCAAGAAACATTGAGCATTATCAAGAACAAGTCGAGCATTATCAAGAACAAGGGACCGAAGGTAAACAATTGTTTTCGATGCATTCACCGTCAGACCTTTACAACCATATGAGTACAACAGCAATGGGCGTAACAGTGGTTTCAATCAGTTCAACTGAAATTAAATCACGTACCAACCGGGGGCATAAACCAGCAATAGACATAAACAATAAGCGCAAACTAGGCAAACACGTGGTCGAATGATGATGATGATGATGATGATGTATATCCTGGGGTTCACGAGACATGCTGAAGTGTTTACAATTGTTTCGTATACGATTTACAGCGTATTCCGAATGTCAGGCAGAAATAAAAATCGTGTTTTTAACCTCCACGGTTGTCCACTTCAAAACTTCGAATGGGTACAGAATAATTCACGGCGTCCTAACAGAGAGCTCAGTGTATAGATGGAACCAAGTTTTCCTTGTCTGGTGATAAGAGAAACACTAAAGCTGAACTCATTCTTATGGGGCATAGCATCTAATTTAGACTAAACATTTTCTATACATTGTGGCGTTCTAAAAATGGGGTAGTGAAAGACAGAGGTATTTTTTCTTTGTAGTTCAGCCGCTACAAATGGGCCGAGACAGATAGAATGGGTGATTTAATCGTTGTGTGATGAACGTGCTTGGCATATGTCAACTGGCTCAGGCGTTTTGCTTTGACTATACGTTGCGCGTATGCGAGTAAGAAGAAAAGTGAAAGAGAAATATTGGAAATAAGGAGGAGGATGTTGGAGGCAGAATCGGTTCGCTTTACTTTGCTGTGTGATGTGTTCACATGAGGGCAGTTCGGGATGCATAGACGAGCAAGAGAACGTATGGTAAAAGTAAATGAAGATGGATTGGTTTAGTCATCGTTTCCTTAGCCCACACTTTTTTGGTATGGCTGTAAGGTAGGCGTGTCTGAGTAAGCAGAATATGAAGGAGTAGAGACAAAAATGAATAGGTCAATCTCAGTTTGCAATTCTTCTGCAATCCACACTTACTGGTATGTCTCTGAGGTATGCTTTCCGGAATTAATTTTATGGGCTGTTTGACAGTTCCACGGCCTACCGCATACACTTTATTTCCTGAACAACGATGGGATCATTCTTTTTCTTTCCTTTACGTTTCTGCGCCTTCGTTTGCACCCATTCAGATAACGTGTTTCACAGTCTGCAGATTACTTGCAACTTAGTGGGTTCCCAGGAGTTCATGATTCGAGCTTGCTATCGGCATCGGTGGTGGATCCTTGCGTATGCTGCAAACTACGTGCGATTAAAGGCGCGCAACTGCATAGCTATGCACATCGCTTGAGTGATACATATATGTTGCAGCCTTGATTGCGAACAAGATTCCCTCTCACCTGGTCACGACACTTACAGGATGGGGTCGAAGTCCTTAACTCCACACTCTACAAATCGATAGATCCGTTGAGCAATCCGTTTCGAATGAACACGGGATTTTGCTCCACTTTATTTGTTGGTCTTTCCTTGAGCTCCCAGAAATTTCTGTTTCGTTTGTCCTTTCGTATGAGTGTATTGTCCCTAGCACATGATGCGCTACCAATCACTTTTCTGGACATGTGAAATCACCATCTAGTGCACTATCCGCCGCACATTCAAACGAATCAGTACGCAGAACTCCATTCTACTCCTCTTCGGTGGCCTTAAGTTGTTTTCAGGCGTACGGTCGTCCACGAATGAGTCTCTTATTACCTTTCCCTTATCGACCGCTGACCGAAAGGATTACGCGCTTGCCTCGTAATCCGGAGGTCACCAGTTCAAATCCGCGTGGTTGCGACTGATCCGCGACTTACTTATTCCGCGCATATACAGTGAAACATCGGTACCATTGTTACTAAGGCAACATTATTCTGCAAATCTGGTCCACAGGCTATAGTTGCTCAACCAAAGTGGCTTAAACTGTGATCTGTGTGCCAGAATGCAGTGGATCCACTGAACTATCTTGTGGAACGTACTTCTTTGGTGTGGTGGGCTAAGGTTACCGGGATACCTCAATAATCCCGCCAATGAGCTTCCGAAATTTTCGTACGTTATTGCGGCATTTTCATGTTCCTCAAAGAGACTGGCAGTGCATGGATTTTGAGTTTTGTCAACTGTTTCGCGCTAAAGATGCTGTAAAAACCTCGCTCTGTTGTGCATCGGAACACTGGCTGCACCACGGCGTCGTCGTACAATCCACCTAGGAATACATTTTAGTCTTGCGACAATACATGCTCATGCACCTTGACTTACATGTTTCACGCCATCCACAATGCTAACAAGCGCACAACGATGTATTCGTCGCCGGGTTCCAAGTAGTCACATTGCGTATTTTGCATTCGCACTGAAGAACAGTTATTACTTCGAAATAGTTTGTTTGCAAATTGACCGACGCATCCATTTGTGCTAACGTAGGATCGACAAAACTGACTTTTATTTAAACCCCGATGGACTAAAACACTTGCTTGTTGAATCGATCGAAACCCAAGTAAAACGCTACACTCGTCGCACATGTCTGGAACATGCAAAGCTTCCAACTTGTAGTGAAATCTGTTACGGGATCTTGGGAATGATCTTGTGCAATGTATCAAAGGTGACCTGCCATATCAAGCGAAAAAGAACTGTTTACTGGGGTCCATCTTGCGATCTAGTTCATTTCTAGGCGCTAACACCATGTGCCACCTGTCAACTATCTAGCTTGCACGACCAGAAGATTCATTGGACAATGAAATACTCGAAGCACAGCTGCGGTTCTGATCGAGTACGTGAGTCCGAACTAGTTTGGTTTAGTGGAAAGTCTCTTTGTCTTCTGACGAGACCAGATCATCATTGCCATCTGCGATCGTTCCACTCTTTTGGAACCCTCAGCTTTTATGCCATTCTGAGTCTCTGAGTATCTATATCTAAAAATTTGATATACTTTTTGATAGGTGTCTTCCCATCATTTTTATGCTCTTTTATCTTGCACCTCGAAAATCAACTTCGGGCCTGACGTTGCACTTGGTCTGTCTTCAGTATGCGCGTCGCACTTTACGAGACCGAGTAACCTAAAATGCTGTCACCTCGGGTTCCTTGCTCGGTTATTAAACTCTTCATTAAGTTGGCGGGCTTACTTGTAGTTGTTTCGTTATCAGTCGCTATTACCTCATCAGTACGATAGAGGTAGCGGTTTGGTTGCAGGAGGCGAACTTGCTCCAGTGCGATACGTCGCTATGCTAGGAGATAGAAGTACCAGTCAGTTTTATATCTACTTTTCGTCTTATCCCACAGCTGACAGTGATTCAGCTGAACTATCCTCACTAATCGCATAGGTTTACTGTTATTTGTTGTCCCAACAAAACACAGTGACAATCGGCCACATTGTGAATTCACTTATTCGCAAACTTCGAACACAGTTATAGCATGATATCTTTGCATAATATTTAACGTGCCGTGCCGTGCCGTCTTCTCCTAGTGGTGGTCCCACTTAGCATCTACTGCATTTGAGTATGGACACACGAAACGTTGGATCCAGTTTGATTACCTCCAGTTCATAATACCTGTCTAGACACGCACAGATCTGCAACTTATTTTTCATATACATTAACTTGTACCCTCTTAACTGCGTCATTCACTGCCTGTTCCTAATGTTATTATCTGCCTTCTCTGTAGTCCTGCACTGCGATCACATGCTTCAGCCATACCCACTTTCTAGAGGGATCACTTGTTTGCCGCTAATAATTTTTGAATGCATGCTGAACAGAGCGACCAGTTATTCTCCAGGTATCTCATGAGACTGAGTACGATTTTACTTGCGAAAAATTTGTCTCTTGAGTCCTCAGCCAGTTAGTTATCCCGTCTTTTCTCCTTTCAGGTCGTCGTTACCCTTGCGATTACTGTGATTACAGTGCAACCACTTCTTCTAATTTGCGAAGACACGCTCGCCTCCACGCCGGAGCCAAGCCCTATTTGTGTCCACATTGTCCTCATCGTACATGTGACATACATGCCCTTGCGAAACATGTCCTCGAATCCGGTAGACATCCCGGTCTCCCTTTGTACGTCTGCCCTTGGTGCTCACAAAGTGATCAAGGATCCATTCCTCCTGGCATCAAATGCGTCGGATTTAACGCAACAAGTCTGGCGTGGCGTCATCTTATAACTGAGCATGCGGATCAGTTGGCAACCTCAGAAGCGTTCAAGCGTACTGGCCGATCTCCAGACGAGATACTCCTGGAGGTGCGTTCTGACTGGTGTGACGGTTTGCATACCTCGTCGATCCATTGAGCTATACTGGGTGGGGCCCCCGAGCCCCATGAGAGCTACTCCTACCAGGTCGGTCAATGGTTGGAGGTCAGACGTACTCAGTCCTTCAGGTTGGGGTTTTTAAATAGGATCGCATCCATTTCTCCAAAACGAAATCGTTGCCACATCCGCTGCCTTGCGGACAGGCTTTTCAATCAAAGGCTTTGGTTGAAGACCCAATCGTCCTGTTTAAATCTGGGCGCCCTGGCAGTATCTCAACCTCCCTACAACCATGACTACTAATTAAAACTTCCAACATATCCATTCATCGGCCGTCACCTAGGTCATCAACACTCGTCTTATCTGCTGCATACAACAGGGCGGACAAGCAAAATCATGCTACTACTGGCGCCTCCCTTCTTTAGCTTCCACCAGTTTCTCTTACTCGCCTCAGTCTCCATTATTAGCCTTTCTCTTAGAATTTCCAGTTACATTGACAGCAACCACGATGTCACTGAAAGCATCCCGTCTGGAGCTACCAACCCGCACCACCCATTGAGCACCAATCTCCGAAAGGTTCTTATAAGGCCACACTGTTCCGTTTCCCTATCGGTGTTCAACGTGCCCACTCTAAGCCAAATAGGTCAACAGGCTACACCCACACGCATGTTAGACGCGCTGTGTATTGACGTGTGTTTTATATCTCTAACAAGGACCAATGCTCTTCACGGGGGTTGTTGGATTAGCTGCACCCGGTTTGTCCTCACGCTATTGGTTGCACTCACGGTTCAAGCTGGGGTAGGCATCATTCTCAGATTTAAGGCTGAGTCTCATCGTTGGTTGATTGGATTTCCATGAACAGCCGTTTATGTGCAGCCCATTTGACGACATCAACTATGGTTGATTCACGGAGTAGCACTAGATGCTGTTTGTTAGTGCTTTTTACTTATGTCTCCACCGACTGCAGTTCTGATACTGCCAAGGACGACTTCTACCATGAACTGAACACGCTACTACGCAGTGTTAGCAGTTATGCTATCACAATTCTTGCCGGGGATATGAATGCGCAAGTAGGTCGCGCGTGGGCTTTTCATAAGCTCAGATAGGTGGTAAGTATGGGCTTAACTCCGAAAGGACAGACAACGGTGAGTGTCTGTTGCAACTGTTTGCGTAGCACCAGCTATTTCTTAGTAGCGCCGCATTTAGACACAGTGGGCATGGAAATGCGACTTAGCGTCCACCTATAGCTGCCTAGCGATGGACTCAAATATCACGTTGTCACAAGTTACGGGTGACGTTGTTCTATCATAGATTATCGCTCTTTTGGAGTACTTGTGTTGACTCTGATCGCGCCTTGGTACACTGTTGTTTTCCCGTAACCTTAATCAGGCGGCATTTCCAACCGCCTCCCTCGTTTGCAACTGGGAAGTTATTTCAATCCTCGGTCAGGTAAGCCCACAAGGATGCACAACATTTCGGACTTTCGCTCTCTTTCCTTATGACACTGCTTTTTGGCATAGGATCTCGGCAGACACACACGACGCAGGAGCATCTGTTTGTGGTACTGTTGGAATCCAACAAAATGCTCCCGGCTGGCTCTAAGCACAATGTGACCAGACGGACTATTAGGGACGAACTAAAACCGAGCCTGCTTGCTGAGAAGGAAGCCTTATGAACCAGTCGCGCTGGAGAAATGGAGGAAGCAGGTGCAGTAGGCAATGACCGCCAGCAATTCCACCATGTCCGCACCAATGGTCGCAGTAAACCAGGTGTCAGTGAAACAGTCAGAGACAGCCCAGGGCCATGAATCGCGCGAAGCGGCGCCGTATGGCTCGTTGTGTGGAGTACTTTAAGATCAGTTCAGTTGTATCTCTGCTTCTGGACCTCTACGTACTCTCGTGATGCAAGATGTGACATGGACGATTTGTTTAGAGGCTCCGTCTGAGGGTGAGGTCTGAAATGCGATAACTGTGGTCAATCGTTTTCTTGCTGCCTGCCTGGGTTCCCTCGTACCCGCATTATTCAACTATGGGGGTGAATCCCTTTGCAAAGCATTGATCTCCGTGTTCGAATAAATCTGGTAGGCAAAGGCCTTCCCAAGTAACTGAAGTGAATTGATTATACTGGCGATATAGATTGGGGACCAGCGCTCCGAGTGTGCTAACCACAAGCGTAATAGCCTACTTCCGGTGCTGACAAAATTCCTGGCCTCAATTTTCCTTCGATGCCTCACTGTTGAGTGCGAATCCTGGATAATGGAGGAGTAGTCTTCGACCCAGAACTTGGCTGTTTAGGTCACATAATTACTCTGCGGCATGTGCAAGAGCAGCGCCACACGTACCGCAGGCCGACAATAGCTGTGTTCCGCAACTTCAGGAATGCCTTCGACTCAGTCGACTGATGTATTCTTTTCGAAATACTTGTGCGGAATGGTCTTGTGAAATATGTGAACGTTTTACGTGTTCTATACTCGATCACCACATGCGGCCTCAGGATCTGCGGTGATGGTGACCAGAACGAAGCGCATACGAGAATTGTGGACAGCAAAAAGCGCACAGACATAAAAGCGGACACGAAGATTGCACAAACGGCAGATTACGCACACGGAATATTGCGCACACTAAATGTAAACACATTTTCGTAAACTGTTAACATGGTCACATGTGACCGTATTATTTATGTACTTTGCTTAATACTCACATTGGGAACTCACGTCGCATAAAATGATCTACTGGATATGTTGCAAGTAGTGACCACGAGACAATAGGACTTATCTTCGGTATCGGAATATACGTCACGCCACAGCCGCCCATACAACGTTTGCGTCTGGGCGGGGGGGAGTATTGGACACATCTCCAACGCTTGATCCGATCTTGAGATCAAGCTGTATTTTTCCTCTTCACAAATGTCTGCTTAGCATTTTAACACTTTCAATCATCACGATATAACCCACCTTACCCCGTAACATAAACATGTTACCAATGGCTTTAAGAATACAGACAGACGTTGAGTCATATTGACTGTAAAAGTTGTTAAGAAGATCGCGTTCGAGTGTATACCTCGCAATAATATTGAAGTTGCACGAATGCACAACTATGACCACGCATGCATGTCTAAATGAGTGTGAAGCATGACTGACACGTCCGTTCTCGGTCCTACCTGTTACTTTGTCCCGCAGGTCGACAACCACAGAATGCTTTCGCTTAATGAGAGATGGACTATGGTTGGCTTGCGTTGCTCCATCCACACACACACACACCAAATCAAGTGTAAACCCATGGGAATAAGACCGGAAGGCAAGTGAATGATAGTCGAGATTCATCAACAGAGTCGGTGCACACTTGTTCAATATGCACGGCATTCCGGTCGAAGTTGCGAATCAGCTACATATCGAACATCACATGCTAGATGGGACCACTCATTGAACCTAGCACACGCGCAAAGGCTGTACACCCGTAGTTGAGTGTAATTCCTAACCCACACGCAAAGACGGGGCATTGTTCACGAACTTAAGTTTGTCGAAGCCGCAACGAAATTGCGGGTGACACCTACTCCAAGTAAGCAAATGAAGTGCATCGCCAGTGTCGCCTAGCATGAAGATGTTAATGACCGCGGCGGCAGAGCAGGAGGCTGGACAGCATCAAATGACGTTTGAACGCCAGTGTTTGGCCAATGACGCTGCTAAGTAACTGATTTAATCCCCCAGTTCTATGTGAACGGTTGACCCGAGTACGCGATTTGCCAAGTGGACTGGAAACACACATCGCCATTTCTTGTTGCACTGTTACCTATGGAGTATTCCAGAAATCAGAAGGGTAACCTAGCGTTGACGTACTTGGGGTTTGAATACCTTGCTTTCCACACTATGGAAAGTGTGATAACTTGGAGATGCAGGCAAAACCGAAGTGTGAATTGCCACTCACTGATGAAGACACGAGATGGCATCATCTTGCAACAGCCGACTGCGCACTCTCATGACTCATGTCCTCAAAAAGCGGATGCCAATGCTGCACGAAGCCAAATGAAACTGGACATGAGGGCAGTCAGTACTACACCTCGCAACGTCATAGGAAATATGTTGTCTGCACTGAGTAGTGAACCTTTGGCCCGTATGTCCAAACAATCATCCATTGCAAGAACTCTTCTGAGTCACCGAAAAAGCGGTAATTTACCTTGTGCAACAGGCACAATTTTTGCTATTCCTGAGCAGTACTCCGGTATGCATGATTCAGAAAGGATTTTCGTATTAGGTAATAACGAACTTATACTTGAAGTGTGCACAGATACCATATACGGGACAGCACTTTTGATAAAGTTCCCAAGACCTTTTATCTGCCGTATACATGGCACGGCAGCGTGTGCAAGAGTTATCCCGCTTACCTTTACATCCTGTTGCAGACTCATACAAGAATTTTTGCAATAATGAAACTAATGTTACCAGATATATGTCAACAAAGGTGTTAGTCGATTTTGAGAACACTTCTATTAACGCTACGAGATTCGCATTTCCCGACGCA